AATTGTCGAAAATGTCGATAAAATGGAAATCAAAATGGAAATGGAAATCGTCGAGTCCGACCGTCATGTAAGCACTGTTTCGATTACCCAGGAGCTAAACATTGCACAAAAAACCGTTTGGAACCACTTGAATAAGGCTGGATACAAAAAGAAGCTTGATGTATGGGTGCTACACGAGTTAACGCAAAAAAACTTCATGGTCCGAATTTCCATCTGCGAATCGCTGCTGAATCGCAACAAAATCGACCCATTTCTGCAGCGGATAGTGACAGGTGATGAAAAGTGGGTCACTTACGATAACGTCAAGCGAAAACGGTCGTGGTCGAAACGCGGTGAGCCGGCGCAAACGGTGGCCAAGCCAGGATTGACGGTCAGGAAGGCTTTGCTGTGTGTTTGGTGGGATTGGCAGGGAATCATCCACTATGAGCTGCTCCCCTACGGCCAAACTCTTAATTCGGACCTGTACTGTCAACAATTGGACCGTCTGAAGGAATCGATCGTCCAGAAACGGCCAGCTTTGGCCAATAGGAGAGAAATTGTGTTCCATCAGGACAACGTCAGGCCACACACATCGATAGTGACTCGCCAGAAGCTCCGGGAGCTTGGTTGGGAGATTATGCATCCACCTTATAGTCCGACGTGGCACCAAGTGATTACCACCTGTTCCTGTCTATGGCGAATGATTTTGCTGGTGAAAAATTCGCCTCAAGAGAAGCTTGTGAAAATCGACTGTCCCAGTTTTTTGCCAATAGGGACAAGGGTTTCTATGAGAGAGGCATAATGGAATTACCTTCAAAATGGCAACAAGTTATCGAACAAAACGGTGCATATTTGACCTAAATCGGATCATTCTAACTATGCTAAATAAAGCCTTTAATTTCATGCAAAAATAATGGATTTCTTTTTACTACACCTTATATATATATATAATATTTTAAAAAAGTAATTCAAAATAAATATTTATAAATATTTAACTAATAACTTACTAATATTGTATGCTGTCTGGGTTAATACTTTTAATCTTAACAGTACTTTGCGTAAGTATTTCATCACTTAGTATTATATATTAGTATTTAAATATTGACAATGTTTTGCGTAAGTATTTTTTCACTGGACGAATATTACATATAATATTTAATATTTAATATTTATGTAATATTACATATTAATATTTAAGTATTGAAATCAATCATAAGGTAGAATTTGTAACATTAAATATTGAAATACTTGAGTACTAAAAGCTGTATTTGAATCACAGAATATTACTAAATACTGTACTTTTAATACTAAAAATAAGTAATTAATCAATGATTCTTAGTATGATATTTCTATAAGGGTAGCTCCCGAGAATCGGCCGAAATGGACAACTAATTCCGAGCTCTGGTTTAGATAATGCTGAAATTCTAGATGTCTAATCTTTCCAACTAATTTATGTCTTGTGTTAATACTATTAGTTAATCTGTTTTCAAATTGACATATGATAGACATTCTTATTTTTATTTAGTTAAATACATTATTAATTTAATTAAAAATGGAAATCAGAAAGGTGTATTTGACACTAGATGCTGTATTATTTTCATCGTGGAGAAGATATCGCTGAAATAGATAGAATTATTTGCGAGATACCTTATAGATAAATATTACTAGTAATTACTAAAGGAATAGTAGTCATTAATCACTCACATTCTTACAAGTAAACCTACCTTTGTGTCACTCGTCGATTTTACTGAAACTCAGTACACTTGTAGAGTATTGAAAAATAATAGACATGTATTTTTTTATATCGGCAATGCTGCAATTGTAAGGGTGAGAGCATAAGAAATATAGAGAGCATAAGAAATATCCATAGAGAAAGGTAATTTAGGATATTTTATTTTTTATCTAAACATAGCCTGAGGAACTGAGTGGGACCGTTGCACAGCAGACCGCACACCAGTCTACCATACTAGAAGTCCCGGGTTCGATTCCCAGAGGAACCAAAAAATTTTTTTACGCTCCTCTCGGAAGGCACGGCAAACCTTCGGCAAACGGTATATAAGATAAGAAATCCAAAAGATGGAATTTATCAAGTATAGAATAAGAAATATTTAGGGTAAGAAGTAAACAGGTAAAAAGGAAAAGAGTAGGATAAGGAAAAAAATAGGATAAGTGGTGGAAAAGAAAAAGTAGATATAAGAAAAATGTAAAATAAGGTTAAGGTAAAAACTAAGAACTTCCTGGCATTATAAGCTGAAGTAAAATAAAGAGATACATCCCTTATAGAAATATCATACTAAGAATCATTGATAATTACTTATTATCCAGTATTTTTAATACTAAAAATAAGTAATTATCAATGATTCTTAGTATGATATTTCTATAAGAGATATCCTGAGGAATTTGGGAGCGGTGCACTTGGACACGGTGCATTTGGACACAGCCAATCACAGCACCGTGTGATTAGAGACATTTGTAGGGTCCCTTGGAACAGCGACTTGTGATTGGACTGTGTCCAATTGCCCCGTGTCCAACTGATATACGTGACCCGAGGAATTTACGTACAGACTTGATAACATAATTTTATTATCACGTCCAATATATTTTCGTTTTTACAATTTAATAAATTGTGAAATTCTATAATAAAAGATATCACGATGATACTCACCAATCAACAGGTTGATTCCTTTCATCTCTGCATTGAGGGATTGCGACATTTGCATTGCATCCAATCAATAAAATGCTCATGTACAGTAACGAAAACATTTTGGTCACTGTCATCAGTCAGCTTAAAAAAGTTTGTAATGACCAAGTGTACGCCAAATTTCAATTGCCAATCTGCTGGATGCAACCAACAAACATTTATAATAAAAGACGTTAATTTTTTAGTGTGAGAATATTTTATATTTAAATCATTCAGCAGATTATGTCACAAATTATAAGATGAAAATTGTTGAGGACACATCGGAAAGGCGTTTGCTATATTATTCTCAATTCATAGAAATGTGCGAATCAAAGATTTTTTATGTCGAATCGAATCAAATCAAATCTCAGATTTAAATTTTGAATTCAAATCGAATCGAATCGAATAAAATCGAATCGAATCGTTGAAAGAATTTTTAATTAACATAATCATTGAATTCAACATGAAAATAATGATTTCAGTATAAGAGATATTACATTGATATCATATGATATCAATTCATTTTAAGATGAGAGATATATAATATACAGGGTTTTAAGGTAAGAGATATACATTTTAAGATACACACATTTTAAGGTAAGAGATATACAATATACAATATACAGGAGCATTTAACTTGAAACATCGAAATATTTCAAAAACTGTAAGAATTATAAAAAAAATGTTTCAGACAAAAGTTGTAAGGTTCAAAAAAGGATATCTGAAATTGACCTTGACTCTGACCATTGTCAAGGTTATTTCAAGGTCATGTTGATTATTTTAAATAAAATCTTGTACTTTTTACTGCATATTCTTGTAGCTTCGAGAGCATTTCAAAACACTTTAATAAATTATGTTTTCATTAAGTACTTTTCGACTTATAAGTCTTGAAACTTACAATATCACCGGCATTAGCATTACCCAAAATATACCGCGTGGAGATTGTGCGATCGGATTAAATCTGTGTATATACGTGTGCGTGTGTGTGTGTGTTGCTGCTGTTACAACTCAAACGTTTGACTGGTTTTAGATACATCTTCGAAACGTATGTTGAAATCCACAATCTGAATGCACAGACTGATAAATCTTTTGAAACTAAGTAGGTTGAATGAGAATCATTCGATTCAGTCATTCATTTGAGTCAGAATCATTTGATCGTGCGTGGAATCTAAAAATATATGAAGAGACGAGCCGTGTGATCTATGTCTCCATACGGGCGTTTGAGTTGGAATACTACAGCAGCACACACACATACACACACACACACACACACACACACACACACACACACACGCACGCACACACAAAAGATGTGAATCCGACCGCGCAATCTCCACGCGGTATATTTTAGGTAAAGCTAATGCCGGCGGTATTGTAATTTTCAAGCATTATAACTCAAAAAGTACTTAATGAAAAAATACTTTATTATAATGTTTTGAAACGCTTTTGAGATAAGCTATAAAAATATGCAGTAAAAAGTATAAGGTTCCATTTAAAAAAATCAACGTGATCTTAAAATAACCTTGACAATGGTCACTGTGGTCAGAGTCAAGATCACTTTCAAAATAAGCATATTTTATGTCGAATTTCGATGTCCCCTTTCGAATCTTACAACTTTTGTTTGAAACATTTTTTATAATTCTTATAATTTTCGAAATATTTCGATGTCTCAAGTTAAATGCCCCACCCTATATAGTCGGTTGCAACGCACTTTCTCCGTGCAGTCAGCTCACGGATCAGGCGTTGACAAACGCGAGGATTTTACTCTTTTCGCGTTAAGGGGATGTCGGAGTGCCTACAAACCTGTTTCAGGTTTTACGTCGTCCAGACTGAACTGATCGAAAAGCACTTTTGCACGCTTAAAGTACTCATTAAAACACACTGTGCAGTTATAATCTTTTCATCGAAAACGGAAAAAATTTTTTAAGTTAGTTGTTTGCTAGCACAAATCGTAGGTTATACAAAATTTCTGTGATGCATATAAAAAAAAGGAAATAACAGCTCACTGCAAAATGTTTTGAAGAATAATGTCCAATCTTCAAAAATATGCTTAGAAGCTTTAAAAAACCACAATTTCTTAGGGAAAATTGCAATTACTTTTTGCTAAAATATAGATAAAACAGAACAGTTTAGACATCCATAATAGTTCACGGATATTGCGTTAGCGGCGCTAGTGCTACAATTGATCACTATGAATACGTTCGGAAATTCGCTATTAGCGTTACATGTCATTCCATCTTTGTCATATATCTAAGGAAAGATAAAGATAGAATGACGCGATAGCGCTAATAGCGAACTCCTTGAACGCATCATAAACTTTATGTGAAATGTGTGTACATACAAATAAATTGCTC